TCGTGATTGTTTGAAAACCTGAATAATCATCAAGATATGGATTCAAGTCTTGAGGCGGATATCACGTTTGCATATGTAGCACTTTGCACAGTGCATCCGTTTAAATGCATCCCCAATTTAGGATTTAATATGCCAATGGCATTCCCGAGGGAGTCAGAGATAATTGTTTCATATAAAAATTTAATTATTATTGGGTGTGTAAATTAAACCTGTGATTTTATCCGGTAGAACGTTTCTAAATTTAAAGTAGTTGTAGTGATTAAAACCATGCTTGCTCCAAGTCTTTAATTCTTGCTAGCCAGCTTCGGAAAAAAGCGATTAAGTCAAATTATTTATTTTTACTTGTTCAATGATTATTCTTCGAAAATGAAATATTCGAGTTTTGCTTTGATTCAGCTGTTTTACTTTTAAATATATATTTAATTGTCTTGATAAATAAAATAATATAAAGACGTATACAAACGGTGTTAGTATTTTGTATTCATATCATGCTTCATTAAGGAATACCTATAATAAGAATATTACAAATGAATCGATGGGCCCTATTGATACCTGTAGGCATTGTTTCTTGCTGGCACTGCAACTTAAGGGATGGGAAGCAATGATTTTTACTGCTGTCGTTCCGGCCAGTAATGGCGTCCGTTTAGCAATGGCACAGTTGTGACAAGTATCGAAATATCGAAATTATCAAAAAGTATCTGTATAGCATGGGTAAGGCTTTAACAAGAATCCACATTATCAAAAGGCATCCGTATAGCATGGGCATGGCCGAGACAATTATTCAAATCATCAGAAGGTATCTGTATAACACGGGCAAGGCTGTGATAATATCAGAATGATGAAAAGACATCCATATAGCACGGGCAAGGTAAGAAAAAATTTCAAGTGATCAAAAGTATCCAAGTGATCAAAAGGCATTCGTATAGCATGGGCATGGCCGTGACAAGTATCCAAATTGTCAAAAGGCATCCGTATAGCATGGGCAAGGCTATGAAAAATATCCAAGTTATCAAAAGGCACATGTACAGAATATACAAAGCTATCACAAGTATTCAGGTGATCAAAATGCATTTGTACAGCATGTACAATATTATGAAAATTATTCAAATGGTCCAATGGAAAAAAATATACGTCGAGTTCACTATAAAATATGTACAGCGTAAGGTGGCGCCCACAAGATACTGACGACGACACCCCCAACCCAATAACTGATAACATGGGGTTTTAGAAATGCATTATACAGGGTAGATGTGATGAACGTAACTTGCAATATATTGATAACAGTGTTCCTCATACATGAAATCTAAATTACACGTTTTAGCCGTATCCAAGATTGCTTTATGTATTAATACGAAAATTCATCAAAATTAACACCATTATGTTTTAATATGGCACTAACTTCATAAATACCTATATACAAAGTGATGTTTTGAAAAAGGCATGCTTAAGGAGATAGTTTAGTTCAAGGTTGGCGTATCCATCTTGAGATTTATACCGCTATTAGTCAGACAAAAGATATACATAGGATATCTACGTTGTATTGAGTATCTATGAAAATATTGCACGAATAATGTGCAAACGTTGTATTGCCACAACATACAAAATGATTCCACATCACGAGTGAAATATTACAGTATTTTGTTTCAAAAAACGTGTATTTTCCTTTAATACTTGAAACACAAACTCCGTCTATTTCAATAGATTTTCTATGCTAATCTGATTAACAGCTTAATAAAAGAAGTTCACTTATTTACAATCATTATGAACAGCGAAGTTATGGAAATGTAGTTTTTGTTACAGATTATGCTCAAATTATGGTTATTTTTGTCAAAAAAATGACTGTACTCTTACGATAGTTAAGCGATATTTAATTTTCGTAATACATTTCATGCGCGGATTGATACTGTGAGTTTGGAGGAATGTAGCAACATCACCGAGCGGATGAATGTGACTTTTATGACTCTGTGGTCTTGATGTAAGTAACAGATAAGAGCGAAAACCAACATGATTTTTAATTCAACACACAATTTCTGAATTCTTAGAAAACAGAATTACAATTTTAATTAGAACTTTAGAACCTAAGATATTGTGAATTAAACCCAAAATAGTCCAATAATGTTCTAACACAAGTCCAAATTAATATGGTTCTAATTAAATTCCATTAGCATGACTGGCTACTTTCTCAGGTAAACAACATTATATTAAAAGCTAAGATACACAAATATATCCATGAGGATTGTCAAACGCCAAAATCTACAAAATTCTAGGTTGTCAACAAGATAAAATCTATTACTAAAATTATAATAACGAATATGGTAAAGATCAGGTAGACAAGGTTATTCCAAGGGGGATTTCTAATGTCGCGGACTCTGATACATGTTTAGGTTAATAATGATCTGAATATTTAGTCCACATTCAGAAAGGAAATTTTAGTTATGCGTTATGTTGTTTACAAAAACATGTATACAAAGAACTGAATTTTAAACAAGATAAGTTGCTAATTACAAATGTACACAGTATATAATGATAAAAAACTTAACAAAAATACAAATTAAATATACACAAAACAGATAAATTTTCAGGCCGTAAATCTTTAAATAAAAGATTTTAATTATTGAGAGTTCGTTCTTTATTTTTTTTTCACATTGAAACTGGGAATTTTGTGTGGCCATGGGATGCAAGCAGTTCCCTGGCAGTTGATGATCCTATTTGAGATTGTCACTTAATTTCGGTTTCCAATCAACGCTCGATTAATCCATCGTTTTCAAATATGACTATGGCGCGAGGTAAATTTGCTACGTAAAAAGTCTATTACTATATTTAATCACGAGTATTTTCTTTCTGAAAAAAGGGTGAACCATTTGTCGTAGATTAAAACAGGTATAAAGTATTATGTGGATGGCACACAATAGCATGCTATGTAAGTCCAATCACCGACAGTTTGCATGATTCATGTATACAACAAATTAAAAACATATAATATATTACTCAGTTTGTAGAACGTTTTTATGCATTTCCTGACGATGCCGCATTGATTTCATAATTGTACTGTAGAAAATCCACAGTTCACGCTTTAAGATCTGTTCATTCTGAGAGAGAGAGAGAGAGAGAGAGAGAGAGAGAGAGAGAGAGAGAGAGAGAGAGAGAGAGAGAGAGAGAGAGAGAGAGAGAGAGAGAGAGAGAGAGAGAATTAGGCCTAAATATGGAAATACAGGTCAGAATAACATGAGAGAGAGAGAGAGAGAGAGAGAGAGAGAGAGAGAGAGAGAGAGAGAGAGAGAGAGAGAGAGAGAGATTGAGAGAGAGAGAGAGAGAGAGAGAGAGAGAGAGAGAGAGAGAGAGAGAGAGAGAGAGAGAGAGAGAGAGAGAGAGAGATGAATTAGGCCTAAATATGGAAATACAGGCCAGAATAACATGAGAGAGAGAGAGAGAGAGAGAGAGAGAGAGAGAGAGAGAGAGAGAGAGAGAGAGAGAGAGAGAGAGAGAGAGAGAGAGAGAGAGAGAGAGTTAGGCCTAAATATGGAAATACAGGTCAGAATAACATAAGTATGGACAGATATATTTCTTAAACGAGGAAAGAAAATAGTTCCAAATGAGATATCGCCACTGTGACAATAAAAGTGGTATCGCCATTTTGACCTTACAATTTTTCTCCCACTGCTTTAGTTCAATATTTCACTACGATATTTGAACTTCAGAGAATATTTTGTGGTTCGTTGCGTCTCTGTGATCACTGCATTATGTTCAACACAATAAGAATATTGTTCAAATGAAGTATTTTTCGTAAATTCAACATTTAACACTAAAACTCAAGGTATATCTGCTCTTAATTCAACTGTCTTTTATGCAAAAGTAAGACTTTATTTTGTGACGATTTTCGATGTATGCAAAAGTGAAAGACGATGCTAAAAATTTCTAAAAATAGAGGATTTATCTGGCAAGAAAGTTGAAAACATTGGCTCATATTTTAACCTGTGCACAAGGAAAGACTGACTAGAAAGTAAATAGTTTATTATATTCGATGTAGACTAAGAATAATCACAAAGTTTTAGCTGCGTAGTACATGCAGCCATTGTAAATAAACCAACCTTGTGACGTCAGTCTATAATGGTTCCTGGTGTATTTTTCAACATACAGTCAATACCTGGCTAGGTTGGGTAGAGCTAGCTGATATATACATTGCCTTACATGGTTTTTCTTTCGTCAGCAAGCCATCAAGAGGTGGACAGCTTTCTAACACAATTTGTTGTATTGTCTAACGTAGGTCGATAGTGAAAGTGATCATTCGATTCATTCATTTCGTAGAAAATAAAATATATTCGGATCTGGTTTGGAGATTAAGCAAAATTTATCTGTCACTAATTATATTTAATGAATAAAATGAAAACGGTCATTACCTTTAGCATAAAATTTGTTAAGAGCATTAATAAAAATATTTGAGTGAAAATACTGATCCAATAATTTTGATAAAGATTTAATATTAAGGTTATTTTGTATTGAAGAACTACATCGAAGCCGTCAAATTTAGGCAAGGGAGAAAACCACTTTACATCTACCAAAGGTTTACAAAACTCGTATGTATGAAACAATTCTGCCAAGTGTGGATATGAACCAATTGAAACTGAGACAAATATTTAATATAAAATGCTTGGTATTGTATCTTGAATCCGTCTCATGGGCAAAAAAATAAATAAAAATAACAAAGTAAAAATCTACATCTTATGAATAAATAATGTGCGAGTCTGTGTGTGTGTGTGTGTGTGTGTGTGTGTGTGTGTGTGTTTGTGTGTGACTAATTTTTTAACGTAGCTTTAACAATTTGAGTTGTATCACTATTTCGTCTGCAGTTTATAGCACTGGAGAATCATGCCGCTAATATGTGGTATTATGTCTCACCCAGTCACATTATCCTGAGGCAAGGCCGACCAGACTTATAACTAGCATCTTAACGCTGATCGCAGAGAGAGGCAGATGTTTGTACCATTTTTAAAAGTCTGATATGACCCGGACAGGGTTAGATCCCGCAACCTCCCGCTTCCGAAGTGGACGCTCTAACCACTTAAGCCAAATAAGCGGTCTTTGAACAAAGAAAACTGCTAGACTGTATCACTGGACTGTGTATGTGCAGATTAAAATAAGCTACAACAAAATCTGAGAAAAACACACAGAATTTTATTACGCAAGTTGCGTACTCTGATACTAGCTGCAAGGTACTACCAAAAGCAAAATACCCCCTTTCCAATTCATATCTAAGCACTTTAAAAAATACCACCCCCACCCAGTCAAAGTTTCGTTATAATCTAGTGACATCTGAAAGAGGAGACTTCCATAAAAATTATTCAAATATAAATAATAAACAAAGTATTAAAATTTAACCTAATACTGATCATTCTAACATTTCAAATAAGGAAACGTATTCAGATATAACTAATAAACAACATTCAAATATCAATAAGTTTCAACTGTTGCACATGTTTTAAAAAATCAAAACGACAATTTCTAATCCTATAATATAAATCTACATTGCGTATGTAAATGTTGAAACTTTCACAGCAGTAGTTAAAAGATATTTCCAAACTGATTTAAGCAATGCTGGATACACATAGCAGACATCTATCGAACAGCAAAAAGCAAGGGCAGTTGACCAAGGAATCTGAGACTTTTTGCAGAAATATCATACAACGTGCTGTTCAATGCATATATTATGAAAACATGTTCCCAAGATTGTCAAGTTGAATAGAATAATTTGAGCACAGTTTGTTATTTATTTATTTGTTTCAGTTTTTATTTTTTAGCAATGCAGTCATATTCTATGGTAGTTTGGTACTATTTGGACCAATATCAACTATCTTTAGGTATGATGTATACCGTCAAATTTTGGTAAAAATCTTTTCAACTTTTTTTGATAGCTGATGCAAGAAAATGTTTTTTTTTTTAAAATTATAGTTTTTAATTTTGTTTTTAGTTTATGGTAATGCATATTTGATGGTGGATAGGGATAACTTGTGTAAGAAAGTGATGACCGGAAGGATATGGAGGCATGTCTTCATATATTCTGGGGAGATCTAGTCACCGACAGTCCCTGACTGGTTTTGTGGGAGTTGATCCTTTTGATTCATGTGTTCGCCTAATCAATTGTGTATATTTAAACCCTTTCACGCCAGGGTGATATCTGTCAAAATTTGGTGCAACTCTGTTGTAACTGCTTCGGAAAATGGACAAGTTTAAGGCGCTTCTAGTTTTAGCAATGGAGGTTATTTCTGATATCAGATGGGCATCATTTACACAAATTTGAAAATCTTTTATGCTAAAGTTCTATCTGTCAAATTTGTTCAACTTCATTTGAATATTTTTATTAACCTGTCTTTTAAACGCTTTTCTTTAATTTTTTCTTCATTTCTGGCGCTTTTTAAGGTGGATCAATAATAATAATAATAATAATAATAATAATAATAATAATAATAATAATAATAATAACAAGGACTTTGTATAGCACCCATTCTTTTGAAGCTATAAGCGCGTTACAACATTGAAGACTTATAATGATTACAAAAATAAAAACAAACACCACAAAATTAGAAAAAATAAAACATGCTGCAAATAGTTTAGGTAAGAAAACATTATTAGGTCTCTAAGCCTGTTCTTGCAGTTGAAATGGCCGAGTTTTAAGAGTGGTCTTGAATGAGATCACTGTGTATTTGTGTCTAGTGGTCAACTCGTTCCACGTTGCTGTGAACTGGTGTGCAAAAGAACGTTATCCATATGATTACATTTTCAAAGTGGGAATAATAAGACTAAGAGTGTCAGAAAAGGAGCGTAAGCATCTTGTGGTGTGTACACTTGGGTGAAGTCAGATAGGCATGTTGGACTGGAGCCGGTCAGTGAAACGAAGTACAGAGAACACATTTTGTGTTTAATTCTGGATCGAATGGATAGCCAGTGTCGGGTACGGAGCAGGAAGTGGTGGAGGTGGTGATGTGATTATGATTTTTAACGTAGCTTTCACAATTGTTTTCAGTCATATCGCTAGATACCTGCAGTGTGGCAGTTTATATTGATGTCTAGCTCTGGGGCATCATGCCGCAGACATGTAGCATGATGTCCCACACAGTCACATTATCCTGACACCAGGTCGACCAGTCCTAACACTAAACTCTTAATGCTGAGCGCCAAGCGAGAAAGATGTTAGTACCATTTTTGTATGACTCGACCGGGGACACATGAAATAACTGTAATGCACATAAAAGTGTCACTACAAAGAAATGTGATTATAATCATGCAGTGTCATGTGACTCATGTAGTTTTGCATAACAGCTGTAAATGCCTCTTTTCTAATTTATGTCTGATACTTCCCCTTCGACAGTCCTCGTATTTATGATAATCATAACCAAAATCAACTGAAACTTTCCAAGAATAGTTTCAGTGTTTAAGAATAAAAATGTACTTGTAAACGAGAGAGAGAGAGAGAGAGAGAGAGAGAGAGAGAGAGAGAGAGAGAGAGAGAGAGAGAGAGAGAGAGAGACTCAATGTGCTCTTTGTGGTATAGTAATATTTTTTAACTTAATGAGAATATGCAATAATCTGGTTTGTATGCAATGCCTTGAAGCGTGTGAGTGATTTGAATTAAAAACAGCTTTAAAAAAATTCAGTCATATGCTACAATGTCAGCAGTGTGGCAGTTTATAGTGATGTTTAGCAATTGGGCATCATTCTGCAGACATGTAGCATAATGTCCCATCCAGTGACATTATCCTGACACCTGGTCAACATATCTAAACACTAACCTGTTAATGCTGAGTGCTAAGCAAGGCGGCTGTTTGTACCATGTCTTGCAGCAATTGAAATTTTGTACTTCTTTTTGGCTGTTTTTGTATATGTGTATGCTACAGTCATGAACAATGCAGTTAATCTAAGAGAGCTGTTGGTTAACATCATTTAAATACTTTCTCACGAAAATTGTGTGTGTGTGCGATTTAGATATTTAACATAGCTGTAACAATTTTTCAGTCATATCGCTACAATGTCTGCAGTGTGGCAGTTTATAGTGATCTCTAGCACTCAGGACATCATGATGCAGATATGTAGCATGATGTCCTGTCCAGTCACATTATTATGACACCGGGCCAACAAGTCCTAACACTAACCTCTCAATGCTGAGCATCAATACAGCTGTTAGTACCATTTTTGTAAGTCTTTGGTATAACTTGGCCGAGATAGAACCCACGACTTCCCCCATTTTAGGCGGACATTCTAACCACTAGACCACTTGAGTGGTTGAAAATTAAGTATTTTATGCAGTGAATTATGTTTCACAGATATATGGTCCTAGTTCTTGTTCATCCACCAGTGTACATGCTCCGCATGCATAAGCAGCACATGGGTCCACTGCTTCGATGATGCCATGCATGCGTGCACACACACACAAAAACAAAATCACTAATAAAGTAAGATTAGGTCTCTCCAACTTTGATAATGCACCATGCAGAACATTTTGAGACAGACAGACACACTCATATGAATTTGAGCTTTTTTGGTTGAGCACATAAAAGTGGATCATATAACCCAAAAGCACTGATCAAGCATAAACTATACGAGTCCCTAAAACAACATCAACTTTATTCAACAATTTATGATATAAAAACATGTTGCATTTTGGGTTACAGGGAAGGGGGAAGAAAAGAGAAACATCAAGTGGAGTGATATCTCTTTAAAGCAAGATTGTGAACTAAATTTGGAACAATCTGGATTTAAGGAGTCAGATGAAGACTAGGACAATGGAGTTGTAAAAAACACCAGCAATGAAAAATCAATAATGTATGCATAATGTATGGTAGCCCCATAATTCTAGACAGGTGTCCTGTATCTGCAAATGTTACTAGAACAAATGCTCCAGTGATTTTTGACACCTGGTCACACATTATATGTTGCTCCTGTAACCCATCTGGATGAAACTGCCAAATGAGCAATGGATTTATATAGGCACCAATTGAGATATAAAAGATGAGTACCATAATGAAAAAAAAAAAAACGCTGTGAATCCATGCTGACTTCTCAAAAGATTATATAAACTCAGGCATGAGAAAATATTTATGCAAGAAACTAAAAGCAAACACTGATTCAGGCAAACAGGTTATACACATCACTGGTGACAAAAATCCACATTCTCTCAAGAGCTACCAAAAAGTTGGTATCAACCAGAAATATGTTATGCCTGACCTGTATTCTTTAAACCCCCAATCTGCCAGTTCAATAAAACATAATAATGCAAAAGCAACTGAAAACTCCTGCACTTACAGTGTTACATTCATCATTCCTCTTGTTATCCCATATCATTATAGCATATCACTGTAGTAGTAACAATAACATTTGCCATATTTCCAGGACCAAAATATAAATTTCCAAGAAAACCATGGATTATAAATCACCTCAGTGATTATGCACTTCATGACAGCTGTATACACAGTATGTATTGTACCTAAAAACCTTTTCTAAATTTGAACTAACAAAAATTAAAACTAAAATGTTTTTGTTTTTTTCATGACATCCATCAATTAAATGTGATTTTACAGTAATAATATCAGATGTTTTTTATTTATATTTATATTTTTTATTTATATTTTATATTTACCCCATGCATAGAACTTGTGTACTTTGGAATGACAGGTCACCCCACTGCCTTCATTAACTAATTCATATTAATGTGTAGTGTTTACAAACTACAGCATGTTTCTCCTGCTGCTAGTGCAATATTTCTAACACATAACAGTTATAAGTGTTTTGTTTTTCTTTTAATTTGATTGTAAAAAAATTGGGTCAGCAAAATAATCTATAACGGTATTGGTACCTAAACAAGGAAATCACAAACATTAAAGCTCTTCTTGCCAGGATGCTCCCTGACAAGTTTGATTGAAATTAGTCCATTGGTTTTTGATAAATTCAATGTGAAAATGTTGACAGATTATGCATAAAGAATGCATACCAAAAACTTTCTTATCCTTATTGTTGGCTGATGTCAGATTTACTGGCCTTTATGCCAAGATACTTTCAAATTTGGTTAAACTTTTGAATGATTTCTTTTTAGTAATAGTGTCCCAATAGGTTGCTAAATTGGCTCCATTTGTACAAATCAGGAAGGCCTTTTTTATAAGATTGCTTTCTATGAAATTTGCAAAATTTATTTTTATCAGTTTTAAATTTTTATCAATGGTGGCCATATTTGATGCCAGATAAGCATTGTTTATAGAAGACTTTTATGCCTGCATGCCAACTTTGGTCAAATTCTGCTTAGCTATTTTAGAGAGGAACTTGTACAAAGGTATTCATTTTAAAAAATGTTTTCCCAATTTTAATAAAGGTTTCTGTTTTGACAAAGGATTCCCTGTTTTAATAAAGGTTTTCCCATTTTAATAAAGGTTTCCCTGTTTTGACAAAGGTTTCCCTGTTTTAATAAAGGTTTTCCCATTTTAATAAAGGTTTCCCCATTTTAATAAAGGTGTTCCAAAATTTGGTTAAAATCTGTTGAACAATTTTTCAAGAAAATCTTCTATAAGATTTATTTTAAATAATGCCAGCTATATTTGACAGTAAATAAGTACCATTTGTAAACAATATGATATGCTTTTATGCCGTCATACTTTCTGCAAAATCTGGTAAAATTCTGCTGTTTAAAGTTGTCAAAAATTTTTCAGTTTTTTTTTCAAAAATTCTGTTGTTTTTCGAAAATTGTCAACTGTATCAGCTTAAAATGTATTTTTGTCAAGATATTTTCTGTTAAATTTGGTTTTATTTTATTTTATTTTATTGAGCAGTTATTTAGAAGCAATTCTTTAAAGTTTATTGTTAGTAATGATGATCATATTGATGAATCTTAAAATCTTCCATAATATTTGGTACAATTTAGTTGAGCAGTTTTATAGAAGAGCAAATTATGAAGTTTTTCTATTTTTAGTAACAGTGGCCATATCTGATGGTGAATCAGCATAATTTTCATTGGAATATCCCTATTCTAAGAAGTTCCATGCCATATCCTGTGCTTTTCCCTCAAGTTGAAAATAGCTCATTTTGATGGGTGTTCAATGCAGAATAAAAGTAGGGCCATACCAGATCCTCATTTGGCTTTGTGGCTTGATGATCTATACATTTTATAAAGTCCAGTTTGAATATGTAGACACAATGGTGTGTGTATGTGTGTCTGTGTACATAGAGAAATTTATGTCAGGGTTTATGATTAGCAGTCAGCTGAATTTAAACTCTTTAGAGCTTAAACTGATATTAAATAAATAGGTTTGAATGAATTCATAAAAACTATGCATGTAGAACCATGTATATTTAACACAACTATTAAAATGAATAAAGAGTTCTTTTACTTTTAATATGTATTATTATCAAAATAGCTAATGGGATGTGAAAAATAGGTAATGGGATGGTAACTCTTGCAGAAGGGAAACAACCAACATGTTGCTAAATAAGTCAATCATATGAAAATCTGGGGCTGGTTAGGTGAAGGGAGAATAGCAGAACTTCTAGCCGACTAGAAGATTCTGAAATCCACTAGCCCTTCTGGTGACAAAAAGACTGATGTAAAAGTCAAGTCCTGCATAAACTGAATTTGTATCTCAACTCCGAGCTGTTTGAGAAAGAGTAGGCAACAAGAACAAATACACTCACCATTCTACATTTATTATATTCTGTTAATATAAATTACTTTACATAACTGCACAATATCTCTGAATACATGACTTGCAAAACATTTATAAATTACAAAAATCCACCATTGTAATATTTCTCTTTATAAATGCCTAAACCAGATTTAACAATATCTAACCCTTGTCAAAAGCCCATTTAACATTTACCTGACTTCTCTATGCCATCTTTTCATTGCACACAATTATGTTGCTTCACTTCTTGTTCAAAATGAAAGGAAATGAATTGCATAAATTCAAGTACAAGTATATATCTCCATTGAAATCATATAGATTTTGTCTTCTTTTGCTTTGGTTAAAGCTTAACCATGTAGTAATATCCTTATTTGAGAATTGTTTCATGTTTCAATTACATACACACACACAAAAAACAACAGAAAGCTAACTTGAAACTTCCGTCCTTATGCTAAGGACTTCATCAACAGACTGATGTGATCTCTACTGACTGTCAACATTGCTCACTGGAATGATGTGTGTGTGTAATTTAGATTTTTAACGTAGCTTTAGCAATTTTTCAGTGATATCACTACAATGTCTGCAGTGAGACAGTTTATAGTGATGTCCAGTACTGGGGCAACATGCCATAGACATGTAGCATGATGTCCCACCCAGTCACATTATCCTGACACCAGGCCGACCAGTCCTAACACTAACTTCTTAGTGTTGAGCTCCAAGAAAGGCAGCTGTTAGTACTATTTTATAAAGTCTTTGGTATGATCTGGCTGGGATTTGAACCTGCAACCTCCTGCATCTGAAGCAGATGCTCTAACCTCTAGGCCATGGAGCGGTGATCATTGGAATGGTGAGCAATATTAACAGATTGTCAAGTTCAAGCTCGTCTAAGATATCACAGCACATCCACAATGATTGCCATGGCCATACTATAACTTCGAACTCCGTAAAATTGAGAACAAGCCTGGTTCAAGCAAGGAGAGGTAAGGAATCGATTTACACCTGTGTGCACAAACTGATGCTGAACAGGGACTGGGACCATTACAACCTGCCACATATCTGGGATAATATGTTAACATCTCTCACCATTCCATTGAGAGTCAGTAGAAATCACATCAGTGTGCTGATGATGTCCATAGCGTACAATCAAAAGCTTTCTCTATTTTTGTGTCTATTTTTGTGTGTATGTAACTGAAAAGTGAAACACAGTGTCAAATAAAAATTTTGTCCTCCAGTGACATCGTACTCAAAAGTTCCATATATGACTTGAACGATATGACTGGGGTGAATCATTTTTACAATGTTACTGGAAAAAAATTGACTACTAAATGTACTCACTATATATAAAAATTCCATTTCCATTCTTAGAAATTATAATGACACTAAATGACAGCTGAATTTGATGCTTGTTTCAAGTCCAAATAAGAATTTAAAATGTTCATTCTAAGAAAGGTTTATTTGATTGATGAGAAATGATTTTAATTTCCTGAGGTTAGCATTGCTAACATGTTTTGTATAGACTCCAATACTTTGGTTTCTTTGATCTGCTCCTTTGTTTCCTGTGTCTGAAAATATACAAGAAAATATAAACCAATACTTGTACATCTTCATCCGTGACATCATTTATTAGACCATTAATAAATACCTAATTGTGATGTTAGAATATACACTATTTTGTAAATCCAGCTCAACCATGTGAAAACAAAATGTTAACCACATCTTTCAGCTTGTTTTAGCAATAAAAGCACTAAAACATCACTTGTATGCTGAGAATAAAGTCAGATGAGAGTGATCTACCCTTGAATAAAGAATGTAATGCCATATCGCATCAATCATAACATTGGAGGTAAAGTGCATGATCTTCCTGGGATGTAACTGTGAGGAGGGATTGGGAGGGAGTGCCTGTATTATGACTGAATAATTATTAGAAAAAATGTCCTGAGACTGGTTTTCTTGTAAGTATTAGCCCCCCCCCATGTCATGAAATTGCTTTCCTCTTCAGCTACATTACCTGATCATAATAAGGAGATGGGTAAACAGTGGAGGGAGTTAATCCCTTATCCTGGTTCCATTCTTTTAACAAAAGTAAACCTGCCTTAATTTTATGTGTGAGACATGTACCTGGGTTAGCACAAAGCAATTACACTTTCATATACATCAATAAGGCATAAATGGATTCACCTGTATTATAATCAAGCTGACTTGTGAAGATGCCTCATTTCAGTGCTAATATTGGTCCGCCCAGATCAAACTGAACTGACCTCTTTCATAAAAAGTATTCTACACAGAAGCTGGAGAATGTTGTATCAGTCCTTTTTCTTTATCTAATGGCTTAAATGCAATATTATGGAAATGCCATGGAAATTTTACGCTTGATTACGAAGTTTGTGCTGCCTACTTCAATGTTAGTATGAAATTTATCTGGCCTTTTGTAATTTCTTGAAGGTGGAATGAATAACCCATTGGATCCAAAATGAAAGAGCATTATGTGCAAACATCACACCTTTTTTTCGTTTACCTGACTTCTGACTGACAGTAAGTGCAATTTCAATGTGATGGTATGACCTTGGAAAGATGGTTCCAAAGAAGATGTCAGTTTCAGTACAAAGCAGAAGGAGCTTATCTGCAGCAATGAAGCAAGGTGTTGTGATGAGGAAAAATCTTAGCTAACATGGATGAAATGTAGATGGTTCTGGTTCACTGAAGGAAGGGTATAGACATTAGAACCCATTCTATATTTTATTTAGACAAATCTAAACCAGGCTGGCTATGGTCTATATCCTGCCTTTCATAATGGTATAGCCAGTAGTTCAAAAACATTAGAACCCATTCTATATTCCATTTAGACAAATCTAAACCAGGCAGTCTATGGTCTTGATCTATATACTACCTTTCATAATGATGAAATTTGTTGGAAATCATGGAAAGATAACTCTTGATTGTGATTAGAATCAAATTCTCCTTGCAAAGCTGTAGGAGATTAGTTATTTGTGGCAACAAGGGTTTTAAATGAAAGATGTTTTTCTGCTTGTACCACTGGGAGAATAAGCTTTCAAGAAGATGGAGTTTTGTACCACAATAAATCTGTTCACCACTCCCTGACATAAATATTATCTTTCTGAGGATTTTTTTTATTTTTTATAAACCAGACCGGTATGTTCAATATTTTTGGGTTAGGATGGAAAACCTGCCATTGTTTCAGCAGTCAAGGTAATCTACACTTAAAGATTTGGATTACTGATTCATGATTTACACACTTTACAGGAGCAGCCAGTATTAACCTACACTTTGATCCACATGTTTTGTAAATGACTTTGTAAATCAGAGAAGTTGGTGGATAGGTATATAGGAGATTTTTCTAGTTCAGTGAAAGGGCACCGATTATCCAGGCTTTCAGCTCAGGCAAAGACAAAGGTGGGCATTAAACCCTGTATCTAGAGTCTGCACGGCATCAACTGAAATAGGTACAGATTTGACCTAAATACCACGAAATGAATTGACCAATCAGTATTAGTCACTTGATTCCAACCGGAACAGCAAGTCTGCTAGGACAATGAGCCTTCCAATGATGTTGCAGACTTGAACATGCATTGATTTATGTAAATGTTGATGAAGGATCCACTTAATAAAATCTAAACTAGAAGGCAGAAGTCCTATGTGGACTAAGTTTTCAGTTGCTTTCTGATAAGATTGAATGGCCCAAAACTTTGATCAATTGGTCAACACCTGAGCTGACTTCATTTAATCCAAAACTTTGATCAACTGGTCTGTCAGGAACAGCTGTGGCCATGAATGAGATAAAGTAATCATCTCTGGTATCTAATGAACAAGAAGCTCAACACTGGAAGATCTGCATTAGAACCAATTGGCAAAGAAATATTTACAAAATGAAATTTGACTCTCTAAGTGGATGATAGACACAATATTTAAGAGTCTTTATGAAAAGAAAACCGCAGACAATTCTGTTATGGAAATAAGGTGGTTAGCTTTTTGTAGGTCTAGGATGACCAAAAAATTTACCCCCTGAATAGTGTCAAAGACTGATCTTAACATGTGTTGGTCATAAGAGCATAGCTAGATGATCTATTACAACCAAGATAAAGTCTCAAGTAAAATCCTGGGGAGTTTGAGTTAAGAAATATTTTTACCAACCTTTCCATGAGAACATTTATTATCTACTGCAGAATGTTTGCCCAGCATAGGTTTCTGGGGAAATATTTTGCAAATGGAGCCATGGATAAAGGAGGATAAACAAGGATAAATCTGAAGGAACTCCAAGATGATCTGTAATGCCCACAAGTATCTAGTACTGAGTATCATTCTACGATAAAATGCTGAACCACCCCCACCTCCATCATTCTTGGAAATGGGAGGCACAAGCATGAAATAATTTTCTGTGGGAAGTTTGTTGGCAGCAGCCAAAACAGTCCTTCTCTTACTGTGTCTTGCTATTAATTACTCAGGAAAAATGGACCTTTGCAAGAATTAAGGTCTAAGGAAGGGTTTCCTCATTAAGGTACCTTAAAGGGGACATTCTTCTTACTCTGGTCCCTCTTTAGGAGAAATAAAGTAATAAAATTATTTTAGTGTGTCGACCTATAAGTACAACATATTCAAATTTAATCATTCCAAGATAAAATTAGAACTTTCCTTCTTGATGCTAAAAATGCTTTGTCTTCATCTTATTCAAGTCGTGCATTCTGCTTGATAATTATTAATATTTATATCTTAAGAAAAATCATATAAATCATGTTTTACTTACATGTTAATGACAAAATGTTGCCTGTATATGGTTACAAATGAGCACAAGTTTTATTTCTTTTATTAAACCTCTGTCTGTGTTGGTTCAAGTCTCGGGCTCAGCCAATGTGTGCATGTGAGAAAGCTTGCCAGGAGCTTCTCATATGTCAGTAGTTCTTTCTGGAGTTTTCTCGGGTTCTTCCTCCACCATTTAGACTGGCTGTCATGTATAGCCTATCTTGTGCTGAAAAATGGCATTAAACCCTACAGCAACAATCTTTTATTAAAGGCTGCACTTGCAATCCAGTAACATAATCCACAATTACTTTGTATCTTAGTCATCGAGTTAAACTTGTTGGCTATCCCATACAAATCTGGATGGCAGTAGATGATGAAAAGTCCAAAGGGGAATACTAAGACGGAGTCTAAAATGACCAGAAAAATAGGCAACAATACTATCCTTGGGAAGACCACTCAGTTTAGAATTCTGTCTTGGCACTCAGATAATATTTTAGTGCTTTTATTACTAAAGCAACAAAAGACTTGGTTAATGGCTTTTTTCACTTGGGAGGGCTGGAATTACAAGACAGTGGATACACTATTAAACTGACAGGGTAATATATATGAAAAAACGTGAATGTACAAACTTGTCTTAATAGTATATAAGAGCTATTAAAGAATTACAGGTGGTGGTAGTGGAGTAAGAGTGTAAGACACCAAATTTACTTCATGCCAATCAGTGTATTAGTGGATTTACCAAATGAAATAGGTGAATTAAAAAATATCCATACACAATTGTCAATATACATATAAAACATTATAACCAAAATATCTGACCAGTCCTGTGGTCATTTGATTGGACTAGTGGAAAGCATGGCAACATGTTCAAATCTCACACTGTGCTTATTATGTTCCTTCAGTTTTTTTGGGTTTATGTGCTTTTTTTGATTGAATTAGTCAAGAGACTCCTGTAAACAATAAATAGTAGGATACCAAAGTAATATGTATTTAGGTCTGTAATAAAAAATATATGTATGCACTAAAAACAAAAAATAAGACTGGCATGTGAATAACATATATTTCATCTTGTGG